GGGGGCCTTCCCGAGAGGAAGCAGATGTTTTGTGGGGGGTTCTGGGCATCCCCCGCCGCCGTTCCTGCCGGCGCCGAAGCCGCGGGAGGAGTGACCCGAAGAGCCACAAAGGAGCGCCGGCGGCGAAGCCTGCGCTGCCAGCGGAGTCGCCATGAGCTGGGGCACGGAGCTCTGGGTGAGTCCCCCCGTTTTCTCTTCATTGTGCCTGGGGTTCACGGTCGCCCCTCTGCGGAGAGGGAGCGGGAGAGCTCGGTCGGGTCCTTTGTGGGGAAGCGCAGCCTCTCGCCCCGCAACGTCCGTGTCGCGGCGGGAGGGGAGAGGGAGGTCGCGCCTGGGCTGCTTTGTTGGGCGAAGTAGTGGAAGCGCCTTGGGGGGAAAAGGATGACTTGGGGAACGTGGGGGTCGGCCTGTTTCCCACGTTGGGGGAGGAGGGGGCGGGGCTCTAAAGATAAATTACACCCCCCCTTTTTTTTCCTTTTCAGTACTAGAATTATACGATAGGATTTATCTTAATTCATAGGCTTGATTTCTTTCCGTGTTGCTTTCTTGCGATGGGTGAAGGACGTTCGTTTCATTGCAGGACCGATGGGTCTTTTGGAAAGGGAGACCACAGCATCAGTGCTCTCTCTCCTTAGGGGAGACGGGGGGGGGGGCTTGAGCTGGATTGCCTGGTCGTGCAGTTTTGCTTTTCCTCCTTAAACAAAGAAAAGGGGCTTGGACAATACAGGGCAAGAAGGGACACATGAATTCCTGTTTGGTGAGGCAAATTGGGCAGAATGGTTTTTATGTGATGGTTTCGTCTTAAGGAAGAAACTGAAGGTGGAAAGTCTTGCAGGTTTGTCGGGCAACCTTTGGGGTGAGTCAGCTGTGCCTGGGATCTGTTTTGGTAGCGGTAGACAAGGTTGGGCTTTCTACCGAAGGTGTAGAGAAGAAGGAAGGTATGTTAAGTAGGCAGCCAAAATGAGCTGTTTGTTTAGGGGCTGCAGTCCTGCAGATGAGCAGTGAGGATTGCTAGCTAACCAGCAATCAAATCTTCGTTTGGATTTAGTTGAGCTCCAGAGCTAAAATGAGAAGAATTCTTCATGGCAACCTTATTGTCAATGCAGGCTAGGCATATGAGATCTAAGTCACTCAGAACCCCATATATTAACATTATAAAATACTGCACCATGGTTTCTTCTATCAAGTGTCCGAGTAATCGAAAAGTAGGCAACTAGCCCATTCTGCTGTTTCTGTGCACTTTTTTTTTTTTTTACATGCTGTATGTTATTCACCCTTGCTAATAGAAACCATGATGGGAAGCCAATGTACGCAGAGCACCATGGAGCCAACAACATGACATGGGGCCATAGGTATCACATTCCACTTGGGCACTCTGCATAGAATTGTTCTCTCTATCGATTATGAATGGAAAGTAATAGGCACTGTGTATGAAGGACAACTTTGATGTCTAGTGATTAACTTTAGTGGTTGTATTTGTTAATCAGAGCTGTTCAGTGAGCAAGTCCTGTCATTTAATGGCTCTGCTTATTTTATCTTAATAAATTGTGGCCAGTTGCATCCATTTCTGGATCAGGAAGTGCTCTGCCTGGTCAGCCGTGCCTTCTTCACCTCACACTCGGGCTCCTGCAGTTCACTGTTCATCAGACTGCTGTTGAAACCCTTTTGGAAACCTCAGCTGGTACAGCATGCAGCTGCTCATATAATTATGAGCACATCAACATTTTTCTGTGTTAACGCTGTTGCTTCAGGGGCTGCACTGGGTGCCAGTTAGCTTCCAGGTACAATTCAGCATGTTGGTTGTCACCTTTAAAGACCTTCATTGCTCAGGGCCTGGATATCTACAAAGCCACCTTTTCTGGATTGAATCTGCCTGTCCAGTGAGATTGGGAAGAGGGCTTGCTGGGGTCCCTTTTCTGAGGAAAAGCCATTTACAGGGACCCTGGTTAAGCTGCTTAGAGACTATGGGAATTTAACAGCATAGATTGATTGATTAATAGGAACTTTGACATGGGAGTACATTTGTTTTCATGTGCACAAATATTAACTGATTCCTTAAAAAAAAGTAAGCTAGTGATGATGGCACATAGTTCAGAAACATTGACCAAATTATGTACAGCAGCTTTGATATGATACTGTATTTTTCTTTTGTAGTTTGGTGATTTCTCTAATACTATGATATTGTATCTGATTATTTATTTATTACATTTATATCTCAGCTTTCATTCAGGAGGTCAAGTCTACATATATTGTGTTGTATTCACTCCTCCTATTTTGTGCGTATGACATAGGTTGGCCTGAGAGAGACTAGCTAGGCCAAAGTCACCCATTGAGTTTCCATGACTGAGGATAATCTAGAATCTGGGCCTCCCTGCTCCTAGTCCAACATTTTAAACCACTACACCACACTGACTCTCCTGTCGAGTTGTATTTTAATCTGTCAATTTTAAAGCATACTTTCATTTATATGTATTACTAAATTAACATTTAGTAGTGTGACTTGTAAAGCTATTCTGACATACACAACATTAATTGGAATTGAAAATATGTCAGGAAATGTGGCAAAATGCTTTTTTTTAATGATTGTAAATTAAAGCGTCTATCAAATTAAATTTCTTTAATTAGAATCTTTAATCACTTCAATGAGTTTATCATCTGTGTTTAAAAAAAAAACTTGTTGCTGCTGGAGTTACTGCTTTTCTCTGGGAATGACCTGCCCTTCCTTTAGACATTGACTGTATTTTTAGATGCTGAAATAACTAATGTGTACAAATTTTTGTTTTGGATCAATAGTGATAGTAGTAGAACAGAAAAATACTGAGTCTAAAATACTGGCTTTTATAAAACTAATGTTTTTGTTGAAAGATAACCATGGGATCACTTATCTGATGTAAACCAAAATGTAAATTAAACTTTAACACTAGATACAGTTATTTGTGCAGCTACTTGATTGAGTTAAGCACTTGGATCTAGTGCAGCATTATAGTTATCAAGTCATTTAAATAAAGGACAGAAGTGGTTTGCAAAAGTAACTTAATTATTTAGATTACATCAGTGGAAGGGATACATTTTAGTTTCTATCTATATTCTATCTATATATCTACTATATCTCTTGTAAATATTTTGTAGATAAATACTGATGATATTACAACATATGTGTGAAAATGTATGTGTTGGCCAACATAGTCATACATGGAGAGGGACAAAGTGTTTGTGCCTTAAAACAGTACACGAGCATAAGAATAGCATGTGTGTATACAGGATAGCTTTTTGATAAATCTACAGGTAGTCCTCATTTAGTGACCACAATTGGGACCAGCAACTTGTTCATTAAGTGAAGTTGTTGCTAAGTGAAACTGCAACTGTGCTTATGATCTTACTTCAGCTTTCCTTTGCTTTACAGACCTGTGAAGGTTGTAAATGCAAGGACTAGTCGCAAAGTTACTTTTTCATCACTGTTGTAACTGCAAACAGTCACTAAAGAAGCCAGTCGCTAAATGAGGACTACCTGTACATGTTCTGACAATAGAGATAACACATTTTGCAGTTATATTTTGGAAAGCTATAAAATGTTCTTTCAAGTGTTTTGCTAGTGGAGGCAAAGTAACTTCATGGTCTCTTTTGAGATATGTGTGCTTCAGTAGTATTAGAAACAAGTCAAACAGTTTATAGGGAGGCCCTGAAAAGGTTTATTCTCTGCAGTGTTGTTACCTCTTCTCTTCTCTTCTCTTCTCTTCTCTTCTCTTCTCTTCTCTTCTCTTCTCTTC